GGCCGTTTTCACAGGACAGCTAGAAAGGGATTATCCAGACTCGCCTGTGTACAGTCGCCCCCTCCTCCACAGCGTTAGACACCCCTTCTCCGATTTTTTCTGCGGGGAGGTTGCGGCTGTACACAGGCTCAGTCTGTAACGGATAATCCATCTTCCGTACTTCAAAATTGACGGATAAAGTCAGGGGGGTTGTTCATTTCAAAATTAAAACTATTCCATTTTCAAATTGAGACGTGTTACCTATCTGACGCGAATCATCAAACGGATAACCCGTCTCAAACGAATAAGCCGTCTCTAGTGTGGAATGTCGCGCCCCGGCCTTGAGTTGGGCGTTCGCGTGTCTGCTCACTATTGGCATTTCTATGTGTAAAATGATATTAGAAGTGGAATACTTTATAAAAGTATATTGATCTATCAAATGTGAAAATTTTTCAATAGAATAGCTTATTTTATCCCGAGATGATCCGAAGGCCTTTATTTTGCTTTAAAGATACAAAAAATACAGGTTAATTAATATTTAACTTTTTGAAACAAAAGAAATTAATTTTTAACTTTTCTGTTAACCGTTACTGCAAAAAATCAATCGATAGCCGTAAAAGAGCCAAAATTTTAGCCGATAACCGTAAAAGACACCACCCCATTGAGACCCTCTTTTAGGGATTTAATCTCCAACGAGTATTCCCGTACCCTTCATACGGAAGTCACTTCCCCCCTGGAGCTAGGGTTAGCTTGCAAACAGGATATTATTATGAAACAAACGCCAATTTGACAGAACCCAGACGGAGTTTGATAAACAATCTTGAAATATCAAATGACAAGCGAGAGAACGTGTTATGTCTCGCACGCGATTTTACTGAGTCTCGTTTCCTTGCACGAGGACCTGTCATTCGAACCAGTGTTAAAAGATTGGTCCTTTAACAAAGGCTTTATTCACCCAAGCAAGCTCTACGCAAGCAAACCTTCCCGGCATTGATCACAGGTTAGAATTAGATTATGATTAATGGAAGCCCTATACTTATATGTCCGCAAATTCATCCTATTGCCTAGATTACTATTACAAAAGTATGATTAGAACTATGGTAAAACAGAGAGAAAAACACGGACACATTACACACCTTGCAAAACGGCCATCACCTAAAAGATGCCAAGCCAGCGAAAGGTGGCTACGTATACAGATACGTTTAGTTCATCTCTTTATCGTTAAAGTCTAGATATTCCTGCGCAACAGCAAAAAGAATTGAAATGATGCACTTCCTTTCATTTCCCCCTTTTTCCTTTTCCTCTCTACGTTTGTTTACCTAATTACGTTTCTTGCTGGAATTTTACGGTATGTTTCTTGCACAAATTGTTAAACACAAACACAGATCTTCGCGTAAAACGACGCGTTTTCTGCTGTTACAAAAAGCAAAGCAGTACGAGCAAAGAACAAGGGCCACATGGAGACAACAGATTCAATTCAATCATGAATCATGGCCTACACAAAGTAAAATGTTGATATTCCCAAACGGTTTTAACTGCTTCGAAAATTACTATCATTACACCCGTTTTCTATCTAATGTTTGCCGAGCTTCCATTACACAGTAGAAAGACTGAAAGTAAAACGAAATCATTATCACCAATCGAACCCTATTCAGTTTACTCCAAGCTATAAAATATTGATGTAGATATTGGTTGATTGAGAGAGCGATCACACATCACTAGCTGGCTTAAGGTGAAAACCAGTGTAGCATTACAGTTAGCAAATGGCTTAGCAAATCATTCAAAGAATGAGGTCTAGAATTATCCAAGTATTCCAACAACAATTGATTATTTTCCTGTATAGCCAGGTTTCTAGTTACTTTACTTTTTATACAAATTAAGATTGATCTTAGTATGAATACTTGTATGTTTGGGGTTACAGATAGAAATGTGAACGGAGATGTCAGTGCATCCAGTAGCTTACCATATGCTGTATGCTCCGAGCAAACAACACGTTCGCCTGGTTTTAAGTTGTGGACAGGAGAATCAGTCAACAGATGAGGTCCATCATAGTCCTCAAGCATTCTTTCAAGATAATAACATTTCCAAAGGAATTGTCCGAAGCAAATAACGATTCTTGAATGCATAAAAGTATGCTTGATTCCGAGCAAGCGCTGAATACACCAAGTCACTTAGTCGTCTCCGTACGCCTGGGTGTGCAACCATGAGACAGCCGGGCACAAAAGCTCGTAATGAATACATAATTGTTGTAAGCGAGCCTATAATCAGTAATGTTTCCCTTAAATAAGAGACAGTAGTATAAATGGTATGTTGTCATGGGTAATAGAACTTGGTAATTTTGGCATAAAATGGAACATAGAATATTAGCAGGGTGACTATTATTATTATTAATATTATCAATTACTATTGTTACTAATTCCTACACCCTTGCAGAAAACGTTTATCCAATTTAGCGTATTAGAAATCAAGCAAGACTGACATGGGAATTTTCCGAAACAACCTTTATGATTATGGTGCTCGTCACAATAAACCATCCGAAAGACCATTATCTGTAAAGAGGACTCTCTTAGACCTGCCTAACTACAACTGTGATGCAATTTCTTTCAGTAATGTACTGAAAGGGATGATATGTGGTGTGAAAGTGTTTAATTTCGAGATCTGAAATGTAGAGATGTTCATGAGTCCATTTATGTTCTTACCATAGACTGTAAAGAAACTGAAACGTGGAAAGTGTCCTTACCCATCCACATGTCAGTCTTTAGATTGATAAGAAGTTCTTTGTGTGGCCATTTCTTTCTCATCTATAAGTTTTTCTTGAATACAAGTAAGATTATCTTCTGTATAGGATATGATAAATCTTTTGTTGCATTTAGTCCCGGGCATTTAGTGGCAAGTCCTTAAGGGAGTCCAATTCCTACTGATTTTCAAACGCATAAATACACTTGTAAAGCGATAAAACGTTCCAAGTGCTTTAAGCTAATGAAGCTCTTTATGCAAACTAGAGTCAAACAAAAGAGACCACTGCTCTTTCTTAGTCGATCATTGGACTAAATTAAAACTACTAGTTTTCCTGTCTTGGAAATATGAAGTCATAAAAAATCTTGGAAGATACCCTCACCTGAAGCCAGCCTCAGATAAACCAGCTATGAAAAACATCCTTGCAATAATGTAGACTCTTCATAGCCGGGGAGAAAGCTGGAGCAGGTGTATGATAAGTATAGATATACAGGTTGAAACTCTTTAGCCTAGTACAAAATTTTGTATGTAATAATGATTTGGAGGAAAGAACGTGGAGCTCTGGGTCGCCAGCTATCAACGAAGATGTAGAGCAACGATGTTAAGTTTAGCTCTTTAGTATTTTTTTCCCTAGGAAAATTTGCATTGTTCTCCATTGTCATTGCATTTGTTCACATCAGTTTTGCGATGCAGCATAAGCTAAGTAGACACTATTGAAATAACGGATGGAGAAAAATTTTCCAAAAATTGTTAGGTTTTACTCTGCATCATCGACTGTACGCAGTTTTAAGAGCTGTGATAATAAGCCCAAATACATGTACTATTATGGAACTCTTTTAAGGATAGAAATATCAACCGCAACAGAAATGCTCAAGAAAAAAAAAAAAAAAAAGGCAAGCCAAGACGAAGCTAGTAAAAGACGCAAGATCACTCGGACTAACTAACCTAAGAAAAGAGTGATTGGCTATAGATATTTTATGTTTTTACTGTTCATCATGGTGCTAAGAACAAAAAAAAACGAAAAGTCATTTCTTTACAACCTAAAAAAAATGCACAAAAAAAAAAAAAAAAAAAATGCAAGCCAAGACGAAGCTAGTAAAAGACGCAAGATCAGTCGGACTAACTGACACAAGTACAGAGAGTGTGGCCTCAGTTTCTGGAGGTGGCCAATGATACTCATGTTCCTTTGTCGCAAGATGCCTGTAAATGCATTTTGTATAAGCCATGATCCTTGACAGAAATCTGTTTGCTTTCAAATGTTCCAGTTGAAGCAGCAAAAAGCTAAATAGACAATGCAATGTCTACTCTATTTAATAAATCTATCCAGTACATATCATTTACCTTGATGTCATGGGAGAGACGCCTTGATAATTGATTTCCTCTTTTTCGAGGATCTCACTAAAATCATTCTTTTCCTTCATAAATTCCAGATATAACGCGAAAAATTAGCGTAAGATCAACTTGAAGCTTCCTTTTTTTGGAGGAACTGTGATCGAGTTCATGCTATACACAGTAAAATGAAACGAATTCCGATTGACCGAGGCAAACAACGATTCTTAGATTTACATAAGGTATGCTTGATTCCAAGTAGCGGAAATGGACCACTAAAACAGTGACAAGCTTGAGACTGAGTCGTTCCCGGTTCGTAGCTTTTACAACCCACGAGTGTGCAACTGCTTGACAGCTTGGCTCAAAAGCTTGTAATAAACACATAACAGTGTAAGCGAGCAGTATGAATTTAAAAGATATGTGGCAGATAAGTCATAAAACTTGGTAATTCTGAAATGAAATGGAACAGAGGATATTAGCAGGGCGATTTTCATTTAGGCCGTCTGTGGTTACACCAACCATTTTTCTGTGTCTTGGTAAGAGTGTGTTATGCTCCAAATAGAAATACATTAAATCAGTTGCTAGCGCTCTTCCCGCTAGAAACTGAATGTCGACGGTTCGGTTTACCATCGATATTCACTATTTAGAAGTCATGCAACTCCCTTCACGACCAATAGTCAAAATAAAGCGACAGGTGTCCTTGATGTACCCTGCTTAGAAGGCTTTTAATAACAACGTTCTTATCAATGGTTGGTTTTTTAACTGGAAATAGATATCTTTACTTTGTTAAAAGGAAAACTCCGTAATAATTGTATTCATTCCGAGTTCTAAGTAAAGAGAGAAATAAGGATTCTTAGCCTAACGATGAATTGAGTTTTATGTCACAACTACATGATGCACTGTGGCTTTTGTTTTATCTTAAGACACACCTATACAATAATCTTACTCATGAGAAAATGTCGGAAATGAATGGATATGCATCGGCTGCACTAAAGAAAAGAAACAGAAAACGTCTGGAAACAGGAAACGCATTTGCAAGCTTCCAAGTATATCAAAAAGATAAAATCAAATTAAAATTTGAGAAAGGAAAAAGGTTTGAAAGCGACAAAGAGATGCATGCTACATGTGCTGTTAACATGCACAGTCGAAGCAAAGCAGCAGACATACACCAAGCTGTTAGTAAAACAAAAGTTTTCTAGTTGATTTATTTGTGTTCGTAAATTCCCTGCTGTCTTTTGCTAGAGTAAGAGGAAACTGACAATATTCAACGCACTATCATCCCCTTTTTTTCTGTGGCCCTTCATGGTAAATATTTCGAAATGAAATCGAGGAGACTTATCTGCCTACGTCCTGTAACATAAGGATAATGTTCAGCTTTATTCTTTCCTATTATCGAGAAGAAACCTAAAAAAAAGGGAAAAGAATATAATGAACCAGATTCAATACCCAACTGCAACTTTGTGATCACACGGTGATAAAATGACGTGGAGCGGGCGGAGTAACAGACGGTACGGCGAAGAATTATCCCAACCGCACAAGAAAGAAAGGAACGCGGCGTAACTTCGGGTCGGCCTTACCACGTAATTGAAAATCTGCAATAGCGCCAGTTTTTGAGGCCCTATGTATCTGTGTGTCTTATCACCAATCAAATGATGCTCCACGGAACTTTTTACTGCAAGAATATCAACAGTCGTTGGCCTAGTCAAATGATTTACGGGTCAAAGGCTTACAAAAACCTAAAACGCGAGCAACGCAATAGCTGAACACCGATAAAGTCCCCAACGAATCTTACCTCTGTGCTGCACGTAACGCATTTTTTAACTCTAGTGCATCACGGGATCTACTTCTAAATGAAATACGATCGCAAGAAACACAACTATACACACTGAAGCAGCAGAATCTACGTGGAAAAACATGCTTAAGCATCTTAGAGCACCACAGCTACTTTCAAAAGGTACGGTCGACTGTAGATCTGTAATGCTTTATAAATACCAAGTAATCATACTGACTTTTGTCAACTCCCTTGCCCGATGGTAAAAAGGAATTGCCACTTAGTGTGGTTTGTATTTCACCTTCGTGATGTTACCCGAAAAGAACATTTAACTGAGTATCATTTCATGGATTAAGATTTGATTTGCAAAACCTCGATATTTAAAACGTTCGACTACATCGCAGGAAACGCAGAATTTAACATGTAAGTAAATATGAAAACCGATCATAAATCTTTCCATCTTCGACTTTTCGTTATCTTTTCTTCAACTGATCAACAGCTCTAGCCCGTAGTTCGAGGAGGCCTAACCTCTTGTAAGCTCCTATAGGTCTCCTCGCCACTTCTTTTTTCTACTTTTCTTATATTATTTGTAATTTCTATTATTGTGTAAAATAAATAATAATAAATAAAACTGTACAAATTAGCGCTTATGTTTCATGAGAAAAAAGTGGGAAAAATGTTTTTCGACTACATTGTAAAAAGTCTATATATAAAGATAAAAATAAAAATTTATATATTGTTGCTACTGTGAAAGTCACCAATAGCCATGATTACAGGGGTAAAACTGGCTACTAGATTTGCAATGATATCGAAAGCAAGAGAGTGGTAAACGGTTGAAAGTGCTTCGGCTTTACTCTCCAAAACAATACATTACCGTCCTCTCTGGATCCTAAGCCATTTCTCCTTCTTTCTTTTCGCTTGCCTGGTGCAAATCGGTGCATATACTTTTCGGTTACGTTTTGAAGGCTCTCAATAAATACAAACCCAGCTCGCAGTACACACTGCAAACCGAGATACTTGTAGATCGACAGGCTCACAACCTGACAAAGAGAAGTGTGTAGCTACATACAGAATTAAAAAGAAAGGTACGCTTGCTTGCCAGTGTCCTGACATTATGCAATCAATCTAACTATAGATATGTTGCTTCAGTCACTCAAGGTTTTGCGAGTGAGAGGCATGCCTGTTTGTCAGGGGCATATCTTAACTATTAATGAAACTTTCAGTATAAGATGTGATTTTAATATGTATTCTCTCTGCCGGCCAAACTCTTGCATATTAAGCAGTGCCTCAATTTGTAAAGCTTTGCTAATCAAGACACACTGAAATGGGAACACTGTTAGTCCATTCCCTGCAATTCATGTCAGGTTATGGTATTTCATTATTGCTAAGTAATATAAGTATCAAGAAATTGATCGCTTATGCTCCTTTCTGCACGAAAAACTAAATTCCATACTATGGAAAAGACAAAAAAATGAAAATAATGACTCCAACTGCCATGAAAATTTGTGACGGTTTAGCTTAAATCTGACAAAGGAGAAGCTCTGTAAAGGCTCTTCTTCGACTGTACAATTGCTAAAGAAATGAAATGGTTTGAATGGTTTGACCTAATAGGAATCACCTTAACATTTTTTGGAAGATCAAAGACCCCTAACGCTTCCTTCCTTTAAACACTTGACTTGGAACAATGAAGATGAAAACCAAAATCAAAGAATTGAATATTCTGCGTTGTGCTTCGCATGTATAATCTGACCAATGATCAAGCACTTTTCCGAACTGATTTTATTTACTAGATCCTGCGGCTACTATGATGATGCGCCTAAAGCAATCTTCTGCCTATTATGCACGTATTGTTGTGTGTCCACTATCTCATTCAGAGGAGTCGTGAAAGTTGCTATGAAGGTCTCCAGTGTTTGCAATAACACTGAAGAAGAGACGTGCAAAGCTCTCTAGCTACTTGTAAGTCTTCAATGTAATCAATGACTCTTATTCCCACTCTCAACTCCCTTGGAGAAGTCGTACATCCAAATATGCGTTACAAATCAAGCAAGGCTTACATGGATATTGCTCCAACTGAGCTACATTTGTTATTTAGGTGTTAATAATCTCAAGACATCTTGAAACATGTTGAAGGTTAAATATTATTTTTGTTCTTAATAGTCGTTTAGCAGTGAAGAGGTCTCGTTTTGACTAGTCCTACTACAAATAGGATGTAATTTTTTACGCTAAATCTAAGGAAAGAGATGATATCTAGGGCAAATATGCCTGATTTCCAGATGTGAAAAGTGTAGAAACGGTACTAAATCCATTGCCGTTCTTAGCTAGACTGTTCAGTTCAGTTCTGGTTGTGCTAATTAATCGCCACCAATGCAATTATTATTTTCATTCTATTGCTTCTGTCTGTTAAAGTTTAGAATAAATTATATTCTCCTTTGGTGTTTTGCTCATTTAAGGACTGCCTAAACAAACAATGATACTTGGAATAGATAACTCTGATTTTTAGACTCGTGCAAGTGAAGAAACAGAAGCGTGGAAAGTGTTCTTATTCAACACAGGTCTTTACAATGATAAAATGCTGTTTGAAAGCTCCGTATTTCCGCATTTATTAGTTTTCTTTTAATATAGATTTGATTACTCTCGTAGTATGATATTCTGTAGGTATGAGATCGACTGCTCTTGCTTTTAGTGCAAATTCGTTAAGAGAGCCAAATGGCTGCTGATTTCCTAATGCATAAATTAATCGATAAAACATTTAAAGTGCTCTAGGCCGGCCCTCTAAGATCCTAATTTAAATTAGCATTCAACGGAAAGGACTACTGTCCTTTCTTAGAGATCCTTTCTGACGTTATTGTGGATGTCAAGCGACACCAACAAAGAAGATGACCTGACGTCTTACCTGATGACGCATGAAGTCGCGGATGAGTTAACCATGAAACCCTTTTTCCCAACAATGTGAAGTGCTCATACCCGGACAGAAAGCACCTAAAGGTGTATTTAAGTTTTACTGAAATCGACCAAAGTTATGCAGATTGAGACATGAACATTGAGAGATGAACTCTAAATTTCCAGCCTTCAACGAAGATATATGTAGAGCAATGGAAGTCAAGTCAAGCATTTTACTATTTAACATTCAAAGTGCTCTAGGCCGGCCCTCTAAGTTCCTTCTTTAAACTAGCATCCAACGGAAAAAGAGCTCGTTAAACCTACTTTTTGCGTTCTTGTGATGCAATAATGAAGATGCCTTTGCGCCTTGCCTCAGTGACGCAAGTCTCGGATAAATCAGTTATGAAATGGTTTCTTGCAATAATGTTAAGTCTTCATTCCCGGATACAAAGCACCTAAAGGTGTATTTAAGTTTTAAATCGACTAAGATATACAGACCGAGACACCTCCACCACCTTTGAAATAATGTTATGATTGGTAGGAAAGATGAACTCTGAATCTTCAGTCTTTAAAGAAGATATACGAAGAGCAATGGAATTTAAATTTAGTATCTAACTATTTTTTCGCAGTAAGTTAACAGAGCTCTTGCCATAAGCTTTCGCATTACCGCCCGTAATATTATATAGCATCAAAATGACGATAGATTTAATTCTTCCACTAAGCATTAAAGAGGTGTTCTCCTGGATCATCGACTGCGCGCCGCTTTAAGAGCTGTGCTAATAGATACGAACGCAAGTCCTGTTGAACTCTGGTAAGAACACTAGACATATAACGAAAAAGAAAGACTCAAACGGGAAAGACTGGCGAGATCAAATACACCAGACAAAAGCTTTAGATTTAATAAAATACAACGAAAGTTCTGGCTTAAAAGGTGTGCTTCAACCGACAACCGTGTGAAACGTATTACATCCTGAAAAAATAATATTATTTCTCGAACTCAATTTCACCTTACCATTTTCCGTGGGCGTAAGAACACAAAATTTATCAATGTTTACTCATATAAAACAATAATAGTCTTCCACATTGTATAATAGAAAATTACAACATCAAAATTCCTTTGTGTTGCGCTGCACGGAAACGTATCAACTGTAATTACGAAACAGAAACATGGAAGCTTTCCTCATCTCAAACAGGTTTTAAAATTGTTCATGTTTTCGTTGTTTGGCCAATTCAAGGGCATTAGTTGTTATCAGCAATTCAGACTCTTCAAGGTCTGCTGAGAATATTCTTTTCATCGAGCGCTCGATAATGGCGGCTTCCATCACAATAGATTGCTGTTCTTTCTCAATTCTTGGATTTAACTTACATACGGTATGACGTCGAACAAGCCACTTTTCTTTCTTACTTCCTTTTTAGTGGCTTTCCTGACTCAAAAGTATGATAATCAACCATGAAAATCATTTAGTTCATTAATAATTCTCCTCAGCACAAGTCTGGCCTTGCTTGATATTAGTTTGAGGCATTGGCCAGTTTCCTAATTGCTTGATTTCTTGTCATAACATTCCCCGCTATCGGTTGTTAGAATAAAAAACAAGCAATAGGCAAATATATTTAAATGAAACCGCCTCGAGCCGCCATCCTGTTCACGGCGTAAAGATAATGTCCAGTTTTCTGTTTTCCGATCATCGGAAGGGAGCCTCTAAACGAAGATAAAAGAATAACAAATTCCAGATTCAGTACCTAACTGTGGCTTCGCGATGACACCGCCAATACGACAACATGGACGGAAAGTAAAAGACAGCATGGCCAACAATTACCGCTACCGCATAAGAAAGAAAGAAATGTGAGATAGGACATACCGAAAACTTTATTACAGCGCTAATTTTTTAAGGCCCACTATATATATGTGTTTTGTGGCCAAACATACTCCACAGAACGTTCCCACCGAGGAAACATCAGCACTAGTTTGCCAAATCGACTGATTTGCGACCAAAACGCCAAACTCAATGTCACGAGCAGCGTAGTTTGCTGAACATGAATTCAAGCCCCTGCAATAAAGGTTACAAGCGTGTTACACGTAATGTACATTTTAGCAGGACTGCATCACGGGATTAATCCTGAATGTAACGCCATATCAAGAAACAAAATGATACCGAATACAGGTGGAAAAACATCTTAGAGGAGCACAGCTACTTTCAAACCCTTCGCTTGTAAATCTGTACTACTTACAGTAAGTAATTATGACTGGCCTTCTTCAACTCCTTTGCTCGATGGAAGAAAGAACTGTCACTTGGTGTGGATTTGTATTTCATCTTCTTGGTGCCAACCTAGCAGAAAGTTTTGAATGAAAATAATTGGATGGAAAACGCTTTAATACACTAAATATAAAAATAAAACAATCGACAGCAACAGGTCGCGAGTTGGATGCTAGAGACCTTCGTTAACATACAAACGTGTGCTGATTTTCGTGAGGAAAAGGTGTGAGGTGCTTTTGTTCCATATTCAAATGCATAACCTTCTGTAAACTGTGCACGTTTTGTTTTGCAATCTTGAACTTGTCCAGGGGAGTGTAATTGGCTTCAAGATTTGCAAAAAATACAGAAACCAACAAGAAACTTGCAAAGCTCTCCCCGTTCATCAACTTCTTAGTCTTCAAAGAAAACGATTACTCTTATTACTACTTTCTATACCCTTGAAGAAAAGTGTTTTAAAAATTGTTATCGAAGAAATCAACCAAATCTTAGAAGGGAATCTTTTTTAACAAAATGGCAGTTACAAATTAGGTACTCATCGTAATACGACATCCCGAAGCGTGTTTCAAATACTTCTTTCACTCATGATAGTTCTTCACCAATAAAAGGGCCTATCTTAGACTTGTCAAACTAACAAGTTTAACGTTATTTCTTATGTTAAATTAACCGAAAGATATGATATGTTGTGCCAAGATGTATGAGTTTGAGATGTGAAATGTAGAAACAGTTCTCAGACCATTTATTTTCTTTGGATAGACTACTCGATTTCTGCCTGTATTGGTCAGTCGACGCCGATGCTATTGTTTAGGACAATTAAATATTAAAATAAATTCTGTTCTTTTTTCGCCTTTGCGCCCTGCATAACTGCCCAAGTAAACAATACGTGATACTTGCAGTTAAATAACCTTCATTTTAAGACAAGCAAATACGAAACTTGCAAAGTGGATGTCCTCATCTAATACACGTTCTTTACTTGCCAGTATTTTCGCATTTCATTAATTTCTCTTAAACACAAATCAAATCCCTCAAGTGAGGTAACTCTCTGTGGGTATAAAACTTTCCATGCATTTACTAGTACAAGGTCGCTCAGGAAATCAAATGGCCACTGCTTTTCAAATGTATACATCAAGCGATGAAAAGTGATCTCCTATCGAACAGAAACGTCTCATAGACGACAATAATGACGGCTTGCAAACGTACGAATAAACTGATAAAAATTTCGAAGTGCTTCCCTGTTTAAGTGAAAGTTATCTGGTACTATCTTTTGAATAAGCCATGATCCTTGGCGGGAATCAGTGGCTGCTTCCCAATTTTACAAATGAATCTACACAAAAGTGAATAGACAATGTTATGACCAGTTGGCTGAATAAATTTGTCCAACACACACCATTATCCTTGAACTAAAATGCCTGATGTCAACAGAGATGCATTAAAAACTGATCTTCTCTCTATCAAAAGGCTCACTAAAATCATTGTTGTTCTTTCAGAAACTACCTTATATCTAATACAAAGGCGGTTTTGGTTAAAAGATGAAATTCAAGCGTGTGGAAAGTATAACTTGCCCAAGGGATAACATCATTCTTTAGATTGAAATTTTTACCGTATCATTTTCCGTGGAGATTAGGATAGAAATACACATGGTTCCTAATGTCAAACAGTTAGCCTTGAACAGTGCAAAATGGAAATATCTCTCACAACAAAATTCTCTTGTGTTGCGCAGATGAGAAGTACGAATTAAGAAACCGAAACACAGAAGCTTTTTCAACTCAGTCAGGTCTTTAACTTTGCTTGGCTATTCCGCCAAAGCAAATCAGATTGTTTCAGTAAAAGCGATCTGCTGTCGAACAGAATTAGTTTTTGCATAACTTCATCGATGCCCATAATGGCCACTAACAAAAGTACGAATAAAGTTCCTAACCTGTTCGAGTCCCCAACATAATTAAAATTACGTCCAACACAATGTATATGTGTCGTGCAGGAAAGTTTTCTTTTTCTCATTTGGCTTTTCTGATGTAAATCTGACATAATCAACCAAGAGTTTTATTTATGTATTTTCATTCATTTATCCATTTATTTATTTATTCATGTATTTCCTTTAACATAATTTAGTGCTCGTGAGGTGTTTTGTTGTATTACATCAGTTGCCAAAAAAATATACACGTTGAAGCTCTGTCACTGCTTATCCATAAACAACATGTCTGCTTAAACCTAATACAGAATAATTTACTAGAAAGATTTAAGGCATGGATTGCATATAGGGAGACTTGCCACTAAAGTAACATTTAAGGTCTATTCAAGCTAAATTTATAATTTCAAGAGTTTTTTTCCGCTTCCAGATTCGTAATGTTATCGCTGTTTCAACAATTCATATCAGTTTTGCTTTCCTCTAATATTAAGGCATTATCAAAATGACGATAGGTGCCCCATTGTCTCCAGTAACACGCTCTGAAAGCTGAAAATAAGCATATCTTCAGGCATTGAACGCATGGAAGGGAAATCAGCACATATCGCAAACTGAAATGATTGAAGACAACAGACTCGCAAGATGACAGATGCTAGGTTAAGACTGTAAACAAGGCCAGAGTTGCAGGTTGATATGTTGTGCATGATCAGTCAGTCTAACCATAGATATCCTGTCAAATTCACTCAAGGTTGTTCCAGTAACAAGCGTGTTGATCTGTAGCATGATTTTACTTCCCTGTACCTGAAAAATGCCATTATCTTGAACGAAGATCAATGACTGCTTTTAAATTTTATAATTAACCAATACAGACATGGATAAACAATGCCTGCTCTCTGCCCACTAAATTCGTGCAAGATAATTACTAGGCTTGTATATAGCACTGCCCTCAATTCGGGATTACAAATCAAGTTTCACACAAAGCTAGGGGAACAATGTCAGTCCATCAACCGTAATTCATGCCACTTATGGTATTAATTCATTTTCCCTAAAGCATACAAAAATGTGTTGTGCAAAGGAAAGACGCTGGAAAATTGCTCTCACCTTATTTATCAGTCAAATATACTTTCACAAATTTTATCGCAAAGTAAGTACTATATGCCGTTTATGCTATAAAGGTCGAAGATCCATTTTTCAGCATAGACAGCAAAACATTACTTCCCACTTGTGGACAAGGGAACTTTCACATTGAGGAGGCAGTAGAGGTAAAAGCCTGTCGTAGTGAAATAAATCTGGACCAAGCCATCAAAAGCAAGATTAGAAGTCTTATAACAAACACATTTGCACCTTTTCAAGAAGGGTAAAATACGGACAATCCAAGAAAGCTAATTAGGACGAATGGCTATCAAGCTATATACATAAAACGTTGTGCCCGCAAACGACCGTGAGGCCACCACCAACTGCCACCTTACTTTCAGAAAAGTTATTCACGTGCACTAAAGAAAACTCAAAAGAAAACCGTCTGCAAATGGTAAACTCATTTATTTAAAAGTTTTGAAATATTTTTGACAGATATGAAAATGTTTAACGAAAGGAAAAAGGTTTGGAACCAACTAAAATATGCTGCAGCCAAAACAAATGAAGCAAATATACACCTCGATACGCTAAGGTGTTGCTAAACACAAGTTTCAAGAAGCTTTATTTGTGGTCGTTTAATCCTCACTGCCGTTTGTTAGAATAAGTGACAGGCAATATTCAACGCACGATTGCTGTTTCTTTCTGTGACCTTTCCAGGCGGAAATTCTCAGTGCGCATGAAACCGCAGAGAATTATCTACAGAAATACATACGGTTCCTAATGTCACACAGTTAGCCTTGAACAGTTCTGTTTTCCCAATATCGGAAACTAAACCTTAAAAGAATCATAAAAAAATGATTGAGACAAGATTCGACACCAAACAGCGACGTAACGATCACAAGGTGACAAAACAACGTGGACGCGAAGTAAAACACAACATAACCACAAATTATTGCTACTGCGAAAGACAGAAAAGGATGTGGATACCTTCGGACTTATCTTGCAGAAGCGCCAGTTTTCGAGGCCCGATGCATCTGTGTTTTGTCGCCAAACAACACTGCTCCACCAAAAGTTCAAATTACGTGATCATGAGCATTCGTTTGCCCCATCGCTAGATTTAAGGGGCGTGAGTAGATTTTGCAAAATTAAATAATTCAAGCAGCATTCAGTTTCCTGAACAAGGATAAAACTCTAACAAGGTTTGACTACAAGTTGTACGCAAGGCATATTGAGCTTAGTTTACTGGGTCACGAGATCTATTACTTAATATGATGTTTTCGCGATGAACAGAGTGACACTAAAGCAGGAAAATCTACGTGGACTAACATGTATAAGAATCTAAGAGCACCACAGCTTCTTTCAGTACTTTTTGTACTAACAAGAACAACTATCAAGTGATTATTACTGACTTTCTCCGACTCCCTTGCCCGATGGAAGGAATTGTCACATGGTGTTGCTTCGTATTTCACAATCGTAGTGCCCCCCTAATGGAAAGTTTTGACTGAAAATCATTGCATGAAAAAAACGCTTTAATTTACAGTTAATATTTATCCACAACCTGCAAGCTTAAAACAGATTTGAGAGGAACGCAGGAAGTGTAGAATTGAACAGGTCCAGAGTCAGATATCAGAGCCCATCTTCCCGACAAAAATTCTATTCATATTCGCTGACTTGCATGAGAAAAAGGTGAAAAGTGCTTATCGTCTTTCTTTAGAAAAAATAATCTTTTGTCAACTGAGCACCTTTTCTTGTGCATTCATGAGCTCATCCAGAGCCATAATTGCACGAGTGAAACTGACCACTAGATTTGTAATAACAACGAGACCAAGCGAAAGAGACCTGTAGGGCTCTGTCCGTCCTTCAAACTGTAACCAAGTCTTCAATATAAGTTATTAAGTTATTACTCTTATAGCCACTTTTTAAACCCTTGGAAAAACGTAGATCCACAGAAGTGCCGTAGAAATCAAGCAAGGATTACATGGGAATGATTCTAAACCACTGTTATCATCATAATAAGATATCCCAAAGCATGTTCTTTTACTTGTACTTTTACTTTTTGACTTGTCCAACTACAAATATAACTTTAAAATTTCTTTTATACGCTAAATGTAGCGAAGGAGATGTATTCTCGCGCAAATTTGTCTGATTGCTAAAACATAGAAAAACCTCTAAATCCCATAAAGTCACTACATTATATAGACTGCTGATTTTGCAATCATTAATGCAACCAATTTCTTTAATCTATTGTTTCCAACAGTTGAAGTTGAGAATGATTATGTTATTCTCTGGCCTTCTGCGCTTTGCACAATTGCCACAACAAACAGACGGTGATGATTGGAGTAAATACCTTGACTTTCAGACGTGCAAGTAAAGTAACATAAAAGTGGAGAGTATCCTTATCTAACAACAGGTCTTGACATTTAGAAGGTGTTCTTTAGGTGGCCCGTGTAGCTCTTTCTACAAAATAGACTACTTTCTTTCCTCAGTCGATCTTTGGATTTCTTTCCGCTTTATGTGCAAATATCAAACGACACGGAGGTCACCTGAAGCAAGTCTCGGATAAATCAACTGTGGAATCAAATGTTTCCAATAATAGAAAATTCTTCATACCCGAAGAGAAAGTACCTTCGGGTGTATTAACGTAATAGCCAACCAAAGATTTTATGTCATTACTTCTGTTCACGTTACTTTCCCGATGCAGTAACATTAGATAGAAACAAAATGACGGTGGAAGTATTTCTGCGAAGAGGAATCAGAACGTCTTTGTCCTGCATCATCCCTTCCCACAGCACGCCTTTTAAGTTCAGGGATAATTACTTTAATTGACATGTACCGGATACGTTTGTTCAACAAACTGGAAATGGCATTGTCTACTCAGGTTTGTGTTGCTTCATTTCTGAGCTTGGAAGGCAAATACAGATTTTCGCCAATGATCATGGCTTACATGAAATACCTTACGAATATGTATGCTTGTGTCAGTTAGACTGGTCTCGCGTCTTTCGTCTTTCAGTTTTAGTTTCGTCTAGTGTCTTTCAGCGTGCAATCCTTTTCGTTTCAGTTTGGGTGTTGTAACGTTTCTAGAGTCCATTTATTTGTGTTCCTTAGCGCAGAGCCCTTAGGATGCGTGATATCAAGGAGATAGCATTGAAAATTGATCGGCACTCCATCCAAGATCACTGACATTAATATCATTCTTAAGCTTTCACAAATTCCCATAATAAATAAATGTAAGATCAACTAAAGGCTTTCTGTTAGCAAACGAATTGCGATCCACAGTTCTTGGTAGTATTCAAAGCGAAATGAAACGATCTCTCCCATTGCCGCCAAAAGATGTATATTGAGAAACATGGAAGGTTTCCGCAACACATATTTGATCAGCTTTCAATTCTTTTGCTTCACAGGTTATAGTGAGTTGTTCTTCCTAAGTGTACAAGTGATCTGCTGTCAATTGGGAACGTTTCTTCCATATCGAGTGCAACAACGACTTCTAAATGTACGAATGATTTCATAAAGTGTGCTTCAGTGTATTATTGTCTCCAACCTAATATATTTCTGTCCTTTACCGATCTTTCGATGAAAGTTATGTCTTATACGATGACGCACAAGCCAGTGTTCGTTCTTTTTGGCGAGGTCTTGGCGAAGATGGCTCATAAGATGTGATTCAGTGTTAAATCCGTTGACCCCCAAAAAAGACACGCTGAGGCTCTGTCCTTGCTTATCCAAAAACAACAAGTCTACCTAAACCTGATATGGAATAATATATTAGAATGATCTAGGCCGAATGAGCCACATACAAGAGGACCTGTATTACCATTTAAGGCGAATTATCGTGCTTCTATTACAATCGCTTCAGGTGCCCGTGATATTTGGGAATATCACACTGACGATTGAAGAAAGCTCAAAGCTTAACCACGCTTCGAAGGTTGATAATAATCACAAATGCATCTCGAACGCATGGAAGACTCAAACATACCAGAAACGGAGATACTTTGAAGAAAAAATGGCTCAGAGGAGAAAATACTGGCTTAAAGCTACACAAACTTTAAAAAGAGGTAAATACGCTGGTATGCAGCAAGGTGAAGCGACTTGCAAGACCAGTCAGTTAACCACCGATATGCTGCCTCAATCATTGTTCTCCCAATGAAAATCATGTCCCTCTGCAGCACGACTTTACGATCCACGATCCTTGGCCAAAATAAATGACTGCCTTCAAATTCTAACATAAAGCGAAACAAGCTAGCGTAAAGAGACAATGCCTGCTCTATTTCTACCAACCTACGAAATAAAAGCTAATCAGTAGCCTTGCTCATTGCAAAGCCTTAATTTGAGTTTCGTAAATCAAGTCACACTGAAATGGAATCTCTGTTTTCAGTCCATTCATTGTAACCCATGGTCCACTTATGGTTTCAAATCGATATCCCTGAACTACTACAAAATTGCCTCATTCCCTGGAATTGTTGAAAGAATTGAGATCCACTTTTTGGGACCGACAGTAAAATGAAAGTGATATTGCCCGTCATACGCTGTGCAAAGATTGAAGCGGTTCAGCTTAAATCTGAAACAAGGCCGAGATAAAAGGTCTCCTTTAACTGTACGACTGCTGAAAGTTATCTTTTGTCGTAATGAAATGTTACCCTATCATTTTTGAGAGAAGATTTCAGATACATAAAACTTTCTTACTTCAAACGTATAGCTTTTGAACAATTAAGGTGGAAAACTAGAATATTCGTAAGGAATTCAATGTGCAAACTCTCTTGCGTGAACTTTAGATGAATGGACAGAGGACCTTAAAATGTCAAATAGATAAAGAGCAAAATCACTTGAAATAAACATTGATGTCTAGATTATGGTTATTTGCTCAATGCTATTATAATTTCGCGATTGTAGGCAAAGGCTCTTTCACATTATGCCGTCAGTAGAGGTAACTGTAAGTGCCAACAATGCCATTTGCACCAAACATCTATGGAGTACCCAACAAAGCTAATATAGGACGAATAGCAATCCAAACAGACATATACCATGGGATATTGAAGGAGAACCGTGACGCCACCGCGAATGGTTCAGTCGTTGTTGTTGTTTAGCCAGATCACTTTCAGAAAATTTATGTTGCAAATTATAGCCATCTTTTCCACAAAATAGAAATATAAAAGCATAGCATAGCTTGTGGCCCCAGCCTATCGATTTAGGTCATCTAAGGATCAATATTATTGTTCTTTTGTTACCAGTTATGAACCAGAACTCTAGCCAGTATAGTTTCGATCTTTGTTGACCATTAATGCTTGTTCTCGTGTTCAAAAAAACAGAGGCATACCCAAAACTTGAAAATGGCTTCACTGTCCAACAAAGGACTTGTGTGATAAAATAACAGCTATAATGTCAGTATTCACCCACGTTTTGGGTTCCGCAATAAAGGCGACACGAACGAGAAAAACTGACGACCTCGGTCCACTATTATTATGATTTCGTGCCTCAGTAATCCCATGCCCTGTGTGAAGATAAATTTGTCTTTTTCACATCTTTGGGGCATTACCAATTTTTCTCACTTTTCTTTACCAAAGACCTAACCATAAACCACCTCTTCCTTACAGAAATTGCCTAATCAGAGGGAAATTACTTGAATTAAAATCCAGGAGGCTTTCTAGCAGAGAAAAGTGAATTATGTTCCAGTTCGTGTTCTGAATGACGAACGGAAAACAAAGAATCGACCCAGCTGATCTCGTAAATGAGATAGTGTGTACACACTGTAATGCAAACTTCATCGCACAAATGTTTTACTACTGATCTATTACCTGCACACTCCATAGGTTGATCTCAAAATCCTAGGTGTAATCTTAGTAGCCCTACCTGACTGATTGTGTCCACGACTTTCTGATTAAGTTCACTGAAAATGTAGGCCCATATTCCTTGTATCGCAGAGCAAACATTGCAAAGTAACAACAGAAACTGAGAGTTCTGCTCACTCAGTATTAACTGCTTACTTAGCTAAGCTTTCGTTGGTCAGTTAACTAACATTGTTGTGCGCATAATATTTTCCCATGATTATATAACCCCCGTGTAACTCTCTTCACCTTACGTAAATGGCCATATAAAATGTTCGCAGTCAATTCATTCGGTAGAGAAACCCACCGCAAATACATTCGAAGTAACATTTCCACGCAGTGCTTTGTAGAACTAACTACGTTGGTAAATTAAGTGGAATGCTTGAAATAAGATAATAAGTTGCTTACCCGACTAAAATATGGGTACGGTTGAATGGAAGCAGACAGGCTCCAAACATGAGGAACATGATGTAATAATTATTTTCACTCTATTCTTTACAGTTGTAGTTTAGAATCAAATAGCCCCATGCATGTTTGGTCTTTTACGCCTTGCATAACTGCCTAAACAAACAATAAGTGATACCTGGAGTAAATAACCGAATCAGAAACGTGAAAAGAGTCCTTATCCATCAAAAGTTTATAGTTTCACCTAAATACAAATCAGATTCCTTTAACATGATGAATTTCTGTAGCTATGAATCCCTTTCATTCATCGCCATGTTGTTAAGGGAGTCAAATGGCCGCTGATTTCCAAATGCATAAATCAGTCGATAAACGTTCAAAGTCATCTCTCTCTAGTTTCGGAAATTTAGAAAACTGTACTTTCTCAGTCGATCCTTGGACCTAACTGACGTCTCATTTTCTAGTCGTACAAAATGAACTATCAGTCGTCAAGAACGTGGAAGATGGCCGAAGATGTCCCCAGCTGACGAACGTGTTGAATAAATCAGTTGTGGACTCGATGAGCTTACAATAATATGAAAGTATAAAGTCTACTAAAGAGATATAGTATGAGACAGTTCCACTTAAAACTGATTTTACCGGTATAGTGTTTCGTAGGAAAAACTCTGGGATCACCGGCCATTGACGAAGATATAGAGCAATCGAACAAAGAGCCTATTTTTCCAGAAGAACATCGGTAATTCTATGGCTATGAAAGCTGTTCACATCATTTCCTCAATGCCGAATATTAGATTGCATTAAAATGACGATGGAAGTTAATTTTCTATAAGGCATTCAACAGTCATATCCTGCATCATCCCATGCAGCCCTCTTTAAGAGATTTGTCAATATCTCTTATCAAAAAACTTAAAATATCCCTTAACAAAAATACCCAAAAACGAATAGATCGCAAGCTGGATTACACCAGACGAAGCTAAAACTGAAAAACGCTGAAAGACGAGAGATGCCAGCTCCGACTAACTGCAAACTAGAAGGTGGCCTCAGTCCGTATCTGTTGATTTAAGTTATCTGTTGGTGTATTTGACGTATAAACCATGATCTTTCCAGAAAGAAGTTTTTGCCCGCTTTCCTAAATTTTACGAATGAAGCAACGCAAATCTGAATGGAGCATGCCATGTCCAGTTTGTTTAATAAATCTATCCAGTACAAATCATTATCCCCGAAGTAAAAAGGCCTGACGTAAAGAAGAGAAGCATTATTTGAAACAAACTCTACTTTATCCAAGTTTAACTCACTAAGACCATTGTTGCTCCTTCACAAATTCCGGTAACAAGGGTCAAAATAAGTTGAATTTCAACATCAAACTTTTAATTTTGAGAAGAATTGCTACTTAGTTCTTGGTATACACATTACGGAACGAAAATAATCACCACCAAGGCTTATTGCATGAATCAGCTTAAATCTGATAAAACGAAGCGTCTTCTTAAAAACGTGTACTTCAATCGTATCCAAAGTATTACTTGCTGAAGTAAGATAAATCTCACTCCATCATTTTCTGTGTTTCTTAAGCTCCAAAAGTTAGCCCTGAAGAGCCACAACGAATATTTCCCTGTGTTGCGCTGCACGAAAACGGATGAGATGTGCGAAGGAAACAAAACATGGAAGGACTTAAGCAGGTCTTTAGATTTTCCACTTTTATTTTCTGTGGAAATCAAAACACAAAACGTATATGGTTTCTCGTGTAAAACAGTTAGCCTTGTATAGGTAAAGTGCATAATAGACAAATACCCACAATAAATATTCCTTTGTGTTGCTCTTCTCGAAAACGTATAAGACGTGCGCATTAACAACAGAAATGTAGAAGATTTCCCCATCTCAGGTCTTTACGATTGATCAGCTTTTCTTTTCTTGGCCAATTTTTGAGCATTAATTAGATTCTTCGAGTAAAAATGATCCTCTGTCGATTGAACACGTTACTTGGGTTCAAAATTGACCCCCTCCAATTGTACGAATAAAGTGTTAACTTTAGTTTCATGCTCCAACAGAAACGTATGTTTGATATGATGTGCTGTAAGCCTATTTTCTATCTTTCTTTTGGCTTTCCTGATGCAAATCCTGCAAATTCAACCGATGAGTTTATTTGTTTCATGCACTTCCCTCGGCAAAGGTCCATGCTTATTGTTACTGAAGAAAAATTAAAAGACTGTTCAAGGAAGAGTTTCCGTTGGTAGGTTCGAATCAAGGGCACCCAGCGACTGTTTACTGTGAAATATCTGTTCGGAGAAGCAAATATGGCCGAGAATTTTCTATTACTTGAGGACGGCTAAAATTTCTAGATGACTGTTCCCACTCATGCACAGTTTTCGAAGCTAATATCTACTAGAATCCCTACGATTTTCTCACGTTTAATTTTCACATTTCACTTCCTAAGTGAGGCTATTTTCGTAGAGAAAAGGAAACCTAAAGTGTTCGGACTTAAAAATGCAATGGAGAGAGAAATCAGAAAATGTCTCACTTTCGTAACCGGTCAAATCGCATCTAAAATTTTCCAAAAAATAATAATTAAAGCACTTGTAATTTCGAAAAGACTCAAGTTTTTCTAGGATGACCGAACAGATACAAATAAAATTCTACAGCGCTGCTTATAATGCATTTCTAGACATCTAAAAGTACACCGGACAGTCTAATAAGTGTTATCAATGCGTTTAAGAGGAAACCGCCGTTGGGTACCCCTGAGTGCATAATAGATAAATACCTCTTCACGAAAACGCATAAGATTTGCGCATCAAAAACAGTTCTAGAAGATTTCCTCATCTCAGATTTTAGATTGATCAGCTTTTCTTTGCTTGGCCAATTTTAGTGCATTAATTAGTTGTTTTCTACTACAAACGAGATTTTTCCGGTAAAAGTGATCTTCTGTCGATTGAATAAGTTTCTTGCATAAATTCATCGGGTGCAAAATTGGCCGCCTCCAATTGTACGACTGAAGTGTTAACTTTAGTTTCATGATCCAACAGAATAAACGTATGTCTGATATGATATTTCTTTCTTTTGGCATTCCTGATGCAAATCCTTCAAATTCAGCCGATTAGTTAATTTAATTCATGCACTTCTCTCGGCATAGCCCTTGCTTGTTGTTATTGAAGAAAATTTGTAGGGCTATTCAAGTAAGAGTTTCCGCTGGTAGGTTCGTATTGATATCAGCATTACAGCTATGTATGTTGGTTCAACCTCCCAGTAATATGATGGTAGCATGACAATGGCGAAAGGCCTATTACTTTTCAGAGCACGCTTCGAAGGCTGCGTATAGACACAATGTATCTCGCTCACATGAAAGAAAACTCAAAACCTACCAAGATACATAAAGACAAAGTCGCTCAGAAGATTATAGCTACGTACAGACCTCAAAACAAAACTCAAGTACGCCTGTAAGTTTCTGGTTAATTTGCTGCGCAAGGCCAGCTGTCAGTCTATAGGCATTGATAATGCTGCCTCGATCACTGAGGTTTAATTGTGTCAATGGGAAGCATGTTCATCTGTAGCATGTCTCCACCATAAAATATGGTTGGCATAAGCAATGATCTTTGGTGGAAATCAAAGACTGCCTTTTAATTTTAAAATTAAGCAATCTGTGTTTGTGTGAGTAGACAATGCCTCTGGTCTCTTTCCACTAAACTTATAAAAACTAATCCTAGGCTTGCAAATAGTAATATTTCAATTTAACTGAGGTTTGCAAATTCAGTCACTAACATTGAAACACTATTTCGGTCTATACACTGCAATTCATGGGCTCATGGTATTAAATTATTTCCCCTGAACTATCAAGAAAATGTCTCAGTTATGTTGAAGCAAGGAAGGTCACGTTGGAACATTACTCTCACTCCACTTTTCCGCGCTCATCTTTTTTCATAAATTCCCCATAGTAACGTGGAATTTTTTCACATCAGTTTTGCAGCCAGTAGAGCTAGCTGTATTTTACGGTAACAACAACAAAAATTTTTATTGTACCCCGAAAGCGGCGCTGTAGTTCTGAGCCATTCTGTCAATGGAAAGATTAGACGTCATAAGATAGCCACATCTATTTTTGACTTTGTTTACAACGAGTAAATATATAGATTAAACTAGAAAGCTTATCAGGAGGAATGGCTATCGAACCAAATAGTTATAAAGCACGTTGAGCCATATACAACTGAACCAACGAACTATATTCAGTTGTTGTTGTCGTTTTCTTAACCGGTTTACTTTCAGAAATTCTCTTTTCCTAATCGCCGCTATTTTGCGGACGAAATGAACACTAACAAAGCACAGCAAAGGGTTTACTTGCAAGGCATGATGTATGCCATGTACCTATCCGTAATGTACATTTGTTATCAGTTAAAGTAATAAACTAGTAATTTGCTTCGTAATTATTACGTTCTTTGTTGACCATTCATTCTTGCAGTTCTCGAGATCTAAAATGAAGGCTTACAAAAAAAGTGAAAAGATGACTTCCCTGTCTATCAATCACTTCCTATGACAAAAGACTTAATCCGTAAAATAATGATTATATAATTGTGTCTGTTACGTTTCACCCACGTTTTGGGTTCTACAAAAACTGAGAACGACACAATCGACCAAAACTGATCTCGATCCACGTAAGGTTAAGATTTTGTGCAGCCAGAGTGATCCATGGCCATAGATAATTAAATTTGTCTTATAGATCTCGTTTTCCTTTTTGTCGGAAAATGGCCAATTGCTCTTACTCTAACCATGATCAATCGCTTCTTTTTACAATTTCCGTGATTCTGTCAGTGAAGCTTTTCAGCAAGATGAGAAGAATTACGTTGCAAATTGTGAATCGACACAAATTGATCAGGGAGATTGAGTGGTGTGTGGTAGAAGTTTTTTTGGTTCTGTAGACACTGTAATGTCAAATGTCATGGCACAAAATGCTCACTGATTTAGTTACTAGCATACTTTATTGATCTGAAGTGCTGCAAAGCTCGAACTAGATTGATCTCAAAATCCCAGGTTTGATTTTGATAGTCCTACGTGACTCATAGCCTCGACAGTGCAACTTGTCGATTGAATTGATTGAAAACATGTTACTCCTTGAAGAATAGAGCAAACCATTCGAAGGCAACGCACAGAACTGACAGTGTTGCTCACTCAATGCCACATGCTTATCTAGCTAAGCTTAGTTCACGAATGTTGTGCGGAAGTTTGCACATATTTTCGGATACTTTCTCAAGACTGGAAAACCCCCGTGTAACTGTCATGACCTTACCTAAATGTCAAAATTTAAAATGTCAGAAACATTATTCGCGGTCATGTTAATCAAGAATTATTCAGACATTATTGAGAATTATTTACCACTTAAAAAGAAAGTTTCCAACGCTGTACATGCTTTATAGAAATGCGAGAATGCTTGAAATAAGACATAGCAACTTGCTCGCCGAGTTGAAATAATGAGTTGAATTGGGACAGATAGGCCCATCCTACAAAATGAGGAGAAAATGTTCTTAATTAGGCGATACGGCATGACCAACTGATCTTCCATACGCAAATGGCAAGTTTAACACATCAGATTTCTTCAGCAACCAAGTTGTATAACATTTTTACACTGTGCGAAAACAAAACGTAACGCTGAACAGTTACCGAGTTGGTTATCTGCTAGCTAAAAATAACAACGAGGTTTATATAAATGCTTTATGGACTTGGCATCACAATATTTCAGTTACAACCTGCTTGTTCCGAATGACGAAACTGTAAACTGCAAACGGGAGACCAATGGAAAGTCCCCGAAATACGCAGACCGAAATAAAATGGTAGAAGAAAAAGGGTTTTTAATCTGTAACGTGATACGAACAAAGAGTCTGGCATAATATGTCAGAGGGTCACTTATTTACTATAGCACAAATTAAAATTTTGGGCATCATGCATAAATATAATATGTCCATAACTACAATACTAGATATGCAGCCAATCAAAACTTATATAAACCTCGTACAAGAACGAATACTGGCAAGCAGATGATTTCATTTAAGGCAATAGATCTTTGGAAAAGCATTCCACAACACCTTGAAGAACTGAATGAGTAAGCTGAATCAAAAAAACAAACATCATCTACTGACCGAACAATACTTGTCGAAACCTAGCACTACCTAGTTCTGCCTAGGCTCACTTCTTCTCAAACTTGTCGATATTACTTTTTGAAATAAATGTTTTGTATTTCGTTTAATTGTTATCAATTGTATTAATCTGATTAATTGATCTTTTCTTTTCTTTTGTTTTGTTTTTTTATTGTTTATTTATTTAATTTTGCTCTTACTGGTTCATCGCTTGTATCATAATTGGTATGACGGTCGCTAACTAAAAAACCTAATGATTCACTTGGCCATCATACTCAAACTTTCATATTAATTCTATAGCAACATTTTCCGGTAAACATAAATCTGTGAAGTCTGTAACCGAGCATTAGTCAAAATATTGAGGGAAAATCAACTGAACTGAACATCCCTATGCAGAATATTTCTACACTCTTGAATGGTTATTACACTAATCGAAAATGCGGACGAAGAAACATTAAAATACAACCGAAAGCACAATCACTGCCAATCACTACTCGATGCTGCCAACTGATTTCGTGACAAAACACTGTACTATAATATTCAAGATAGGCGAAGTGGTATCCTTATGTTTCCGTTTCAAAAATTGCAAACAAACAAGTTTAGTTCTCATGAAGTTAAAGTAAGACCCTTTCTAAACAATGATCACTAAGAGGTACGGAAAGTTTGTACCATTGCCCATGGTGAACTACTGCATGCACTGTTTATCCCCTACGTACAAGAGTGTGTTTTCTTTTGACCTCTGTTGTATAATTCTGACAAGCACCAAAATATGTCACGAGAAGTGGGGGGCAAGGATGGGGGGGGGGGGGGGGCTTACTAATCTGAGTGTGCACTTTCTGATTAAAACAATTTTTCCTTGGTTAATGATTGAAATAACCATAAAGTCCGTGTTCTAATAACAACTTTAAGTAGCGTTTGAAAAGACTTTCTAAGTTTGGAAATGTAAATCCGCAGCGTGATGTCATATAGCCAGAAATTTATTTTGATTGCTATTCTACTGGAGTCCTTTTTACCACTGAGCGATCTACCAACGAACTGGTAGTCAAAATAAAGCTAGTATATGACAGAAAAGAGTTACTAAAACACTCGCAGTAGGCTGATTTCAGCTAAAACCATTTTGAAACGAAGTTCCGTGTGGTCAATGCATAAGTTTTAACAGGTCTTGTAAGGTTTGCTTCCCAATTCGCTTCATCAATTGTATTCCAGAAACCTTTCGCACCATATTTTGAAATATCGCAAAAGGAGGGAAAATAGCAGCCCTTATTTCGCAACAAATAATACAAAAAGAATTAAATACAAAGTAGTATATCGAGCAGTGCACGTTTTCAGGGTTTTCACACTGTAATCGAGTTAAATATGGCGACCAAGAAGTGAATTCAGAAATACAAGAAATACATTCAAGCCTTACTACCATTTGTATCTGTCTCTAAGTAATTGGTACATACCTAGAGCAGGCGCTTGGACTTTAACTTATTCAGCTGACTACTCCTCAGGTTCCCCAGGACTCAAAACACTGAAACAAATCAACCGTAGTTAATTAAACAAAGCGATCCCTCGGTATTGATGTGACACATGCAAATGGCTCAAACCAAACGAACAGACCTTTTTGCCAATGGAGTCATTTTAAAACTACCATTAGAATTTTTTCTCTTTCCCTCCTATTCAAATTCATTTGCCCAGGTGACAAGCCTAATTTGGGCACAGAAAACGAAATCCTGAAGCACTCTGGTTACTGAAGCGTAATCGACTGTAAAAAGACGCCATGATGAAAACGGCTTTTACACGTTCTGTTCTAAGAATTGCCTTTTTACCTGTTGTCTTTAGCTGTGTGAACAACTGGGGAAAACCAGTATGCACTTCGTTAACACTGTGCAATTTAAAAAAGCCGTGGAAATCATCTTATCCTTTAAAATGTGCTTTCGCAAACTGACATAGTCATTCAGCGGCGGTGGTGTGGATTTGGATTCGGGTGTGGGTGGTTGGTGGGGGATTGTTTCGCACAATGTCTGCTTTGACAGCAGCAATCGTGGTAAAAAGAATCCAACAATAGATTAATATGACTTATATTATTCGACAAATTTGCTTACCAGTTAAAAACCAGATTTCAGCTGCATGTTCAACTATGAAAATATTATTCCAGTAAGACTCCGTAGCCCTCCTCGTTTACGATTATGATTTATTAAGTTGCATGTAAATGAAAGGTCACGAGTTCATAAACTTAGAACGACGGCAGTCGAAAACTGATCTGGAACTGGTTAGGAGGGAAGGGGGGGTTGCTCAAAAGGTTGAAAGGGACTAGAAGGTACCATATTCGGTATTTTTATTGCTGATTTAGTCTGTTTGATCAATTAAGATGGCCTTAAATTTATCTTTTCATCCATGCTCCATTACAGCTGTTCTGCTTGTCTAGTCTACGGCTTAAGGTGTTATTTTATTGGTGTTTATGTCGGTTCTCTGACCAATCAGAAAAGTACACCTAATCCTATCGGTTCTGTACTGCAATCCGTGAATAGTTGAACATTTTTTTCGCTGGTTTATTTTAATGACGATTTTTAATTTCTTTTTTCTTGTTTGTTAATGTAATTCTATATTCTTAATATAAAGAATATTACTCTGAGATGCATAGACCGTATGAATACCATCCTGTTTACAAATAGTTTTACTTTTAACTTGACATTACTTTTCATTACACCCGATAAGTTAAACCCCCAACAAAAACGTAAAAATATTGCATTTACGTACCCTTTGGAAAAATAATACTATGTAGATATCTGCTGTATTCAAAGGCATTATGGCGTTTTACCTGAGGAATGATTTATTACAAAAGCCACTAATTTTTCGCTGATGCTAACTTCAAAAGATAATTTACAGGGTGGGCGTGTGATAAGGCAATATTGGGAAAGTCTGTAATACAGGCAACTAAAGTCAATTAAAAAGTACGTTCCTACGCGGGTGCTTTGACGTTCGTTCTCATGCAATGTGTCAGTATTAATGTTTGTTCTTTGTTTGTTTTTCTTATTTAGATGAATCACCCCAGTCCTTCTCCAGGTTTCGAGCATAACGAGATGAGTGTTTCCTCTGAGCTAAGACCATTATACAGACTCACTTCAGTTAAAGAAGAGTGTACAGAAGAGGAACTGAATAGCTTAAGTAATCTGGCAAAACAAGTAGTATTCAGCTTTCAATCTAAAACTAACAGTGCCCATATTGGCCAAGAATGCCCCATCAATTGTCCGTGTAAATGCCACCTGCCAACTCCAATCCCTGCTGTGAATGAGTATCGGCCTTCTGTGATAATGGTTCCAGTGGCCAGAGAGCAAAGGGGATCATATGTGACACATTTCCCGCTTAGGATACAGGTAAACTATAAAATAAGTGAGGGTCGCATTACACCAACTTCTAGGTATGGTAAGGACTTTTGTATACCCAGTGCCATATCATCGGGTTATACCATGCTGATGCCGTTCCTTATGAGGACGAAACAGCTGTCTATGGCTGCTACTGCCTGGTTAATATGGTTGTGCGCATGCTTAAGGTACTGGCCATACGGCGGAGTTGGTACGTGTGTTTCAGTGCTGAAATTGGTATTATTCAACATCATCGGGGTTACCTATAGCCATGGGAAGGACATTATTAACTGTCATAAGCGTCGGTTGCCCTAGCCTCCCACGCATACTTCTTAGGGCCTCGTCATGCATTCCTGTCCCATGTTCATGGGGCAGCAATACGTAACGAAGCCCAAATAGCCTGTTCCAGGCATTCAGATAGTGAGGACGGCGCAAAGAGCTGTGAGCAGAAAAAAACTTTTTCCCGCTCTCTCTCTTCGCGACGCACTCCACTATCTAAACGCCTGAAACAGGCTAAAGCACAGAGGACGTTTGTGTGGGAGGCTATCGGATGCTCGTGTGTATCCTTAAAGTTTGCCTATACTTGAAACACTCCAGAAAAAAGCGAAGCTAAGAGAAAGAACATTTTAAGCTTCTCAAGGGCCCCAAATTGTTCCACCGGGGTGGACTAAGGGAGCTCACTGAACTCCTTAGGAAGGAGAAAGAGGCGAGGTTAGTAAGGGCTTGGAGCTTTGTAAACTACGAATTGTAAACTACAACATTTTGTACCAAACATGTAAATAAAAAATTGGTAAATGAAAATTGCTCCAAAATACTGGGAAATAGGAAAAAAGAGCAGGCTCGTTCAATTTATTCAGTGTCTTGCTTGATTGATTGATAAGAGTTTGCGCATTGCATCGTGCTCCATGTCTGGTCACTCGAAGTAAGGACTCCCACAGATCGTATTTGAGCTTTAAAAAACCTATATGGATCTCCAAACGGCCTATAGGTTTCAATGGGTGGACTGGATAGTCTGCTTTTAATAAACAGTGGTGATATATTAATCGAAAGCATATTAGTTTTGTGGAGTTTTTTTGTTTTTTACAGTTTTGTAGATAAACACCTCTATCTTAGACGCCTTCCATATGATTAAACACCCCAGCTTGGGCTCCCGGGCGTCCATTAGATCACTTAAAGTAACCGTGTGCATACAAAGTCATACCGTCTACTACAGCCGACTCCCAATAACTCGAACCTTTTAGGGAAATCGAAAAAAGGTCGAGTTATCGGGAGTTGGAAGCAAAATAATAAGCAAAAGGATGTGGAGGGAATGCAATTAAGCAACAAAGTATACAAGGATGGACACTAAATTTGAACTGGAGTGACAAAAAATGGAAAGACAAAGAATTGACTCGGTTGTTTCAAATAAATTCAATGTTTCGGACCTTAATACACGGTTTTTTCCCTACTTTTCACGCGCTTATAACATGGTTCGAGTGATCGTGGGTAAATATAGTATAGAAATCAGAGATCTGAAGGCCGGGTCTGTAAGGTTAACAAAAATTACTTCGAGTTAGTGGGAGGTTCGAGTTATCGAGAGGTCGAGTTACCGAGGGTACAATTACAGTAAATGTATGAAGGAAATCCAGGGGAAATCGACTTTGGTTCGAGTAAGCTCGAGGTTCGAGTTAGCGAGGGTTCGAGTTGTCGGAAGTCAACTGTATATCTCATAGGGGGATACGTTCGACTCCTCCTCCACATAAGTTGTCTCCTGAATTGTCTCTAAAAAGGCTCATAAAGGCTCCATATTACGTCAAAGGTTATACGTGAAACGATCTGCATTAGAACCATCTGACCATGCATGGAACGCAATGACCGGATCCGGAGGGGGACGGACACCCTTTCGATGGGTATTTTGCCGTCTTTGAGTAGCTTTTGCAATTTCGGGCTCCTTCGCTGTGTTTACGATTACATTTAAAAATGACAACAGACATGGATGAGTTCAATTGAATCTTTCTCAGCGATGATTCAGGTGACGATTAGTCTTATTCTTTCACCGGACATTCATGCAACAAATTATTGCAACATGTTCGTGAAGATTTTATGAGTTTCCATTGTCTACCAGACGGCTAAGTGAAGATAAAACAAGCATCTAAAAACAATTCAGTAAGTTCAAGGAAAATGAGTTTAAAAAGTTTTGAACAGCCTAACTAACTAGAAAAATGGGTACATTTTTGAAGTTGGCGCGACTGCAGTTTCTTTCCTAGGTTTTTTGGGGGGGATGGGGGGGGTGGGGTGGGACAGGCGCAGAGCTCGTTTTTTTACTGACCATCATCCCTCCCCCCATTCTTCTTCGCTAGACACTGTAACACGAGCTCACACAATTCTAGTACAACAACTCCACACCTCTTCATGGTACTTTTTAAGTTATGACTGGATGAGGTCGCACTAGAGAAAGTTTTTTATGTTAAACTCAAGTTTACCATAGCAAACGGCACCGTAAGTGCATTCAGTTTATATAAAATGTCAGCAAGTCCACAGCAACAAAACCAATGAGTGGTGCCGGATCTCCCAGTTGTAGACCTACGTAGATCAGTACAACTAGACTTGTAGAAAAATATGAAACGGCAAACTGATCCTTACTGCAAGGCGATGACGAAGAAGCAAACAAAAGAATAAAACAAAAAATATATATATTTAAACAAATTGCCCAATATTTCGATTTGTAAACAAACCTTCTTCAGAGGCTAATAGAAAAATGAAAATAAAGCTAAAAGTCCATTTCAAATAAGAATTTGAAAATGTGACAATAAAAGCAATGGATTGTTATTGGTTTTGGAGACTAGGGGGTATCATATATCAGTGAGCTTCGTCACGCCTATTTATTCCTAGAGGAGATGATGTGTTCCCTTTCTCACGGAATTATAATGACGTCGTTGATTGAATGTCCAGCTTGATTAAAATGTAAGGAGACAGGAGTGGGATCAGTGAGTTGTTGGTGGTTCAAGGTGGATCGGCGGTGTTTTCCAAATCGTTCATTTAGAAAATAGATAGGCGTGACGAAGAATAAGGTCTCAACGCACGTGAGGCCTTAAAGTAGATTAGTCTCAAGCACGTGTTTCGTATATGATATCATTCAAAAGAGATTTGACTGACACTAATCTAGATAATAGAAATTTCACTCATTCCACGTTAAGTAGGTAAATTACTATGTTGTAGTGTGCGTAACAATTTGTGAGGACTAAAATGGTTTTCTCATAATCATTTTGCTGAAAAATACTTGAGATACGACCGAATAAATAGAAACAGCTCCTATTGATAACGTGTGCTCCTTTAGACACCAACTTCGAGGGAATCGAGGTCAAAGGTATCCAAAACATGCAATTTTGGTATTTCCGCAGAGAGGGTGTGAAAAGAACGGGTAGATTTTGGCTTGTCAGTTATGGAACCTTATCTATCCAATGTCTAGGAAAGGACTTAAGACGGTAAGTCCTACATAAACATTGCTCACTGCAGATCAGTTTTGTTGCCCGGGGGAGCAATCAAGGGAAGTTTGGGTAGAGCTGTGTCGCCGAGGCCTTCAAACCCAGACCCTGTTTAAGACAAAAATGGCTCATTTCACTACCCTGTTTACCCGGGTGGTGGTGGTGGGTGGGGGGTACTTCCATATATGGGCTATATAGGTATGTGCCTTAATTGGTTGAAGATTTTAGTCTAGACTAAGGAAACCCGGAATTACCACTCAAAAATATGAAAAAATCAAATCGGCAAATTTATATTTATACAACACTGCCTAAAAGCTACTCTAGGGTAGGGGAATATTTAGGGAGTTTAGTCTAGTATAGGGTAGCAAAATTTAGCTGAACTAGCTCTGGCATAGGCTAAGGGTTCCAGGGTCCCAGCGGCACACCACCACCTAAAAATTCCTAAAGTACCCCCCACCCCCCGCTTCCCGGGCCTGTTTAAGACAGGAGACACTACTTTCTGATCCTGATTTGTTTTGTTTTGTTTTGTATACAGAATTAAGTAATTTTCACACTAAAATCGTGGAAGTAAATGTATATTTAGGAAAAAATTATCGGTATTGCAAACGTAGACCGCTCATCGCAAGTCTTCACACTCTTTTTAAGGCTTCCAGTCCAAAAAGACACCCTGTTCAGGACGCTTAATAGTGAAATTGCATACCCTGTTTAAGACTCAAGACCTTGAAAACCATACCCTGTTCAGCGGCACATACCCCGCATAGGCCAAATAAGGGAGTCTACCCCTCGGGTTTTGCTGCTTGGTGTCCACTATTTTTATGAAAATTCCGTTACCGTTCTGAAGGAAGATCACAATTGGCCTAGAAATAAATATCGCAAATGATTTGCATTGGGTAATGCATCAGTCAAATCCAACTGCTTGAATTGGCCGTTTTTTGTTTTTTTTTTTTTGTTTTTTATTGCATTAAATTTCTATTGATCTAGGATTTGAATAAAATTTAGGGATAATGATTTTAATACTTTTACGATCATGTATGATCAATCTATTATTTGAAGAATCACCTTTCCTATTATTAAACTTTTCAGAACAGATAGCTTTATATTATTAATTTTAATTTTATGGTGCTTTTTTGGCCTACAAACTATTTATAACAAGATAGATACAATGATAAAATAAGAATCATGAATGGTTTTGTCGCGGCTTAGTAAGAATAGCGCTAACGTTAAGTGAAACGAAACATTTAAAACGCTTAAAGTGACGCTATTAGACTGTGCCAATGAAAACTGCCACAGTTTGGATTGACGACGGTTCCCCACTAACTTTGGGGTATTTGGCAAGCTCAAGTGTCCCAGCCCTCGGGAATTTACCATCTAAGGCCAAAAAAATGCAAATGCCCGGGAGTTAACCCGGGCGGGCGGGGTGGGGCTGGGCGCAGTTGGTTTTGACTGATGCGTAAATTAAAATATTGCCTTAAGTTTGTTCTTTTCGATACGCGATGCATTATATTATATTTTTAAAACAGGGGATAAACGTCAGGTTTATTTCAGGAAGGCTGTCACACATTAGCCTAAGTACAGAATCCCCTCTTCTCAGGCCCCCCTTCTCTGAGGGAAGGGGGGCCTGTAGACAGGCTATATCAAGCAATTCCTCTATTAAAATCAAAGATACAACTCAAGTCTTGATGACGAGTAGTGAAGATTTTGTAATAAGTAACGCTGCCCACGTGCTCCCTCAGAACGACATTTCTCTGTCAAGTGTGAGAAGGGAATTTCAGCTGACTTTCTTGTATAGTTTTAAAATACTTAAGTTTCCCAAATAGCATTTCTAGGTAATTTAGGAATATAAGATGAATATGAGACGGGCATTTAAATATTTCAAAAGTAACGGAGGTTTCACAAAATCGGAAGTTGATTTTGTATGAAGTCAAAGGACAATAGTTTTGGGAATTTCGGGTAAGATCAAAGATTGTTCAAAAATTACCGTAAATGATCTAATAAACACCCCCTCTCTAATGAACGCCTCCTATCTTATTAACGCCTCCCTAATCTGACAAGTTTGTATTAAGCGCCCCTCTCTAACAAATGCCCCCCCTTCCGTGAAAACCACACATAAACTGGAAACAGATGTACAATACAATGTAGATATGTAGAATGGGTGTTGACCGCCTGGGCACGGCTCCCCACTGAGGCAATTACAAAGTCATTTAAGTCCTTCGCATTAAATCTAGCCGTTGATGGCTCTCAAGATTCAGAGATCCATTGTTTCAAGAAAGGCTCGCCATGCGAAGTAGGAGCAGAGCAGTTGAAGGCACAACTTTCCGTGCTTGATGAGCCGACTCTTCCAGACCCATTTCAAGCAATAACTAACTCAGACATAGAAGAGGCCGGCGATGAAAATACCATGGTGCTCGACGAGGACTCGGATGTTGACATCGGATGTTGACATTGAGCTATAAGAACTACCAGTACGGTACCGTTTTCCGCCACTTTATACCGCTACGGATTTGTAGACGGTTTAGACTTATCAGCGGACGGACTTGATAGTCTGCTACAGCTCTGTCATTTAGATTATTATAATACCGTATTTAGGTTACCATGTTACATGTTACGCCTCTCTCTTTTAAACGCCTCTTATGTTTTAAACGCCCCCCCCCCCCCCCCCTTTTCCCCCATAGTCTGCTACAGCTCTGTCATTTAGATTATTATAATACCGTATTTAGGTTACCATGTTACATGTTACGCCTCTCTCTTTTAAACGCCTCTTATGTTTTAAACGCCCCCCCCCCCCTCTCTTTGACCCTTGAAATTTAATAAAAGCCCCCGGCGTTTATTAGATCATTTACGGTAGTCACGTACGGGGTGGTAGATCACCCATCAAATGTACACAAATAACACCTAGATAGTCACAAGGACTTTAAGTGCAAATGAAACGAAAACAAAACTTAAATGTCAGCTGTTTTGTGAATTTTATAAAAATGGGAACTGCTGCACGTAACGTAAATGACAAATACATTGACCCTGTCAAGTTTGGTTAGCGTATTTCCGGTAGGAAATACGCAAAGGGATAAAATGCCACTCTATTATATCTCTTGAGTGGTTAATGGGTCGTGGTGGGAGGGGGAGGGGGGGAGGAATGAGGAAATTGCCCAAGTGAAAAACATGATGCTCATCTTTACCTCCTCAGGAAGGGGTTATTATTTATAGGATGAAGGGGGAGTCTTATGTCTTGTGCAAATAGGGGAGGGGCAAGTGCAATTACGAAGTTGGGTACAACTTTTTATGAAAAGGGGGAAGGAGGCATATGAATTTACGTAACCATTTAATAACCCGACCAGTATAAGTAGTTAAAATGCTCCTAGTATTTAAATAAGCACGTAATTAACTTTTAATAATAATAATAATAATAATAATAATAATAGTAATAATAATATGATAATGATAATAATGAAAATAATGACAATAATAATAAACAAATTCTACCTCTTAACACCATTTAACTAAGCATATAAACTACAATGGCAGGTATTTCGCGAAATTGTTTCATTTTATCACAGAAAATCATTGTCTAAATCACTGTTGTTCTCAAGGCGACGTGGACCTTACCGTTCATAATAATCACTGTTGACATCCGTCGTCAGAAAAATGCTATATGTAACTCTGAAGCGTCTAAACTCCCCTTATTTGTTTAAAACCATGCTGGTGTATTTTGTTGTTCAATCAGAAACAAAGAATTTTTTTTTGCCCAAATAAGGAATGAGAGAAATGAAGGCATTCCTGTCAAAAAAAACTGCTCAGCAGGATTCTTCCGGTCCTTATAATAGTTCTCCAAGTACATCCATAACTCAATAGTACACACTGAGCCGTTTACCGTGATCAACTCCGAGGGGGTGGGGGGGCATCTACCCCCGCTTGTAGGCCTTTCCCGATTGTGCTCGTAAAATGCTGGAAAGTTGCTCACTGGAATGCCAAAAAGTTGCTAAAAAATTGCCAAAAATCCAAAAAGTTGCTCCCTAAATTTGAAAAGTTGCCACCTCAATTTCTTAATATTTTTATAAAAACGTTAATACAAAGCTTTATTTTCGTTCTTCAAAATAATTACTAACATCGGTCAAGAAAAAAACATTTTTCAAAAAATTTAAAAAATGAAGTTTTCTATCAATAAAGTCGTTGACTTTTTCGTGCTTGATATATGCTCTAAACCTATATTTTGCTCAAAAGTTGCTCAGAAAGGCAAAATTTGCTCGAGGTTGCTAGAACCGCAAAAAGTTGTTCCGAAAGGCCTACCCTCTTGTACGTCCCTCAATGAGCTACAACAGCTTGTTTTTGAGTAACAAACACTTTTTTCTTTTAAAATCACCAATCGGAAGTTAGGTGGGCAAAATGTGCCACGGTTTTTCGAAAAATCGAAGGTCAAAAAATCCGACAAGTAGTTAGTTTAACTAAAAGAGGTATTTTCGAAGGGTGAAAAAGGGAAATTTGGTGAACATATCTGTTATCCATTAAAAGTTATTCAACAATTATTCCAAGAGGGCGCGTTGGATATGAGATGATAGATAGCCAACGAGGAGTTACGCGCCTCGTTGGCTATAATCATCTCATATCCAACAAGCGCGAGTGGAATAATTGTTTTATTAAAAACGCCCACAAAATCTCGTAAAGACAGGGGGACTTCCGCTATTCACATGTCACACGTCTATCAAAACTGTCAACGCGCGAACGGACTCGCCTGGACTGTATGTTGAATGAAAAATAGCGATGAACATTAGTTTTTTAAAAACTCATCGGGATTCTAGGATTTTACACAGCAGAACAGCTGAAAAACCTGGCAGATAATGTGAAGGAAAAGAATTCTTAAGTGACAGCCGTCGAAATTACCGTGAATTTGGATTTTCGGTGCAGTTATAAAAGTAAGAACAACGGAGAAAAACTGTTACCTCGGTCGCTTGTTATGAAGTTGTTTGAAGCCACAAGCTGGTTTTGCTGAACGAGAAAAGAAGCTATACTGCCGCCTCGATTGCTCTAGTGAATGGCTGCATAGCCTGTATTTGTAGCTGGTTACTTGTGATTTATATTCTTGATGT